TGCAACAAAACTAACCATGACATTGGACATTGTGTTATAAATTAGCCACAGCCTTCCAAGCAAATTGTCTCTTTTCATTGTGTCAGTGTAAGCCTTTGGAGCGTTTGGCTTCAGCTCCTGACTTCGGGGAGACTCAGAATATTTTCATTCGGCCCCAAACCAACCCTTCCAACACCAAGCCGCATATGCTAATATACGTATTTTAACTCACAGTTATTCTTAGCACCTTTACCCAGAGGATCGCTGTGAGCTACATTCCATTCCTTTGCCTTAAAATTCTGCCAAAGGCTTCTAAGTTTTGATGGGACAGGAACTCTCTCCATTCGTCATTAAAACAGAAGGATGTATTTCTCTTTTTCTAGGCTTCTTACAGTGATTATTTGAAGTTTCTTTTAAGGAAGACTTCTTTTCAGATATCCAGTGAGAGGTATTAAAATATGTCAATATAAAGCTCTAGGTGACATGACATGTAGAATTACAGCATTTGGTACTCAGGGAAGTAGTTCTATTTCTGTTACATCATCTGTGTTCAAAAAAAAAAAAAAAGAATGATCTACCCATCAGCTTGAGCTATGGCCCCAAATAACCAAATCAAGATTTTGTTATTAAAAAGAATCCCCCCAAATACTCAGATGTTATCTAATTTCTTTTCTTTCTTTCCCTTTCATTCTTTCCACAGAAAAGAAGGCGCAGGGCAAAAGTGAATCTTAGAAATAATCTTCAGCAGTCAACTTTATTAAAATCAGGTCCACATGACACTTTTTAAAAATAAAAGAAAATATATCTTCTTATAAAATTTGTAAAACACATTTACTACCTTTGATCTTTAGTGTTTCAGCCAGTACAGACACCACTGCATGACCGCCTCTGCCCTTCCACACAGCGAATAAGGACACTGACAATCGCAGAGCTTTGCAGCAACATCGTAAGTAACGATAAACATCATATTGGTGCATGACAACTCGACTGACTTGCATTGTCTTTGGAAAATGAACAAAATGTGTACTCTTTCCAATTTTCCCAGCAGGAACTTTTATTAAATCTGAACTGTTTCTAATTGTGAATTAGATTCTGTCGAGATGGTCCCCAACAGAGAGGGGACCAAACATGGCTAAGGAGCTGTGCTCCATCCAAGGACACTTATCAAGGGCAATCTACCTCCTCCTCCCTGTCTTCTCTCTCTGTTCCTCTCCTCTACCCAGAAAGAAGCTCAATGCCCCTCTCCCTGCAGCTCCTCTCTGTCTTCTGTGTTCCAGGTTGAGTTATATTTGGATGGGGTGGGGGAAGCTGATTGAGGGCAAACATCAGATATGGCGGCTCCTTCTCAGAGTGAGAGTGTAAATTTCAAGACCTCTTGGGTAATGGAAACTTTCCAGAGAATTTGCCCTTCTTAGAAAAAAGCAGCACTTTAAAGTGAACTCTGCTATTTCATTACAGGTCCAAGCTCCAGCCAGTTTAAACAGCACATCTTAGCAAAGACGATCTTTTCCACCTAGCTGGCTTTCTGCGAGAAGACAGTCTCTCCAGGGACAGCAGAGGGACTTGCAGCCTGTCTGTGCTGACAGAAGGGTGGAAGGCACTGTATCCAAAACACCCGTTTCCCCCTTGCACGCTCACTGAGGCTTCGGGGCCCCACTGCCTGCCACTGCAACAGCTCCATCTTCTTGACCCAAAGCAAAAGGGGTGCGAGAGGGCTGGGGGACAGGCAAGAGATGCTGTAGGTTTCTATGCAGGAACAAGGAAGCCTGACACACACACCTCCTTGGGGTGAAAAGAGTCATGAACACACACACACACACACAACCCCTTTAGGCAAAGACAAGAGTGGTTGTTATGGTGGATGCAAGTTGTTCCCCAAGCATGTCCTGAATGTGGGAGGCCACGGCAGCTGCCTCCCCTTGCGCTGGCCCACGGGGCCCCTGCCAGGGGCTATAATGGCTTGCTGGCCGTTGCCAGCTGTCACACTTTGCATGCCGCTGGAACTCCAGACCAGCAGAGGGGGCATCCAAGTCACCAGCTTCAACAAGCGCCAAATCCTGTCCCCATGCTGGGCCCACACGGCCACCCAGAGCCCTCTTCTGAGGCTCCGCCGAGAGCCCGTCAGTACATACTGAACAGCGTGTCTGACCGACAGGGTCCTTGGCCAGGGGAGGGAGTAATCCTTCCCCAAGACGAGATTTGAGGAGGTCAAGGGCTCAAGGGAACCATTAGGGACATCCCTTTGTGAGGGAAGAATAGTGTGTGTATTTCCATCTCCGATTCCTGGGGCGCCCCTGACAATGGATGAGAAAGGGGCAGGGTGCTGTTTAGGCCACTGTCCCAGGCTGAGCTTCTATCTTTTTCACTCACTTCCTCTTCCTGCTGGCAGGGGAAGGCCTTAGGGTCCCCACCTAGGATGTGGGCAGAGGAGGGAGCCAGAGGGTGAGGTGGCTGGGGCCCACCCCCATCCGTCATCTCAGCTACAGGACAGAGGGGTCCTCAGGGTAAGGGTGAGCTTTGCCAGAGAGGGCTGTTCAGGGTTCATGGAGATGGGATCCTGGGAGCCCTTTCTTCCAAGCAATGGCTTAAACCCATCAACTCCTCAATACTGGCTTGGCCGAGGCTGCCCCCTCCCTCCTTTTACCGAGTCCCCAACCCTTCCCATCGTGGCGCCCTCCTCAGCTTCCTGGAAGCCTGGTCCAGCTGGAGGCAATTCTGGAAGCTGGCCACTGATGCTGCAGCTCCACCTGTCCTGTCTGAAGGCACATTGTCAACCCGAGAAATCCACTACCATCTGGGAGCCTCAGTTTCACCATCTACAGTAGGGATTTTAAAAATACCCAGCTCATAGGGTTCCCATAAGAATCAAATACTTTGAAAAACAGCATGCTTTAACAAAATGGGGAATGATTAGTGAGATCTTAAACTTACCTGCTTGAAACTTTCAAGGCAATTTCCTTGGTCTCTCTCCTTCCTGCCCAGTATGGTTCTGCTTGGGGACTCGGGTCCTTCCTGCTGAGGCCTCTTCTTCTCTAAGTGAGCCCCTCAGCCTGCTGGTGGGTCCTACCAGGCCCCTTCCCTCTCTGTGGAACCTATGGGAAACTCTTGGATTAAAGGATGGTTGGGAGCTTGCACATTTCAGAGATGAACCTGTGAGCTAGTGGAGATTTCAGACCAGTTCTCAGATCCCCTGGGACACACACTCATCGCAAAGCTTTGGGAGGATGAAGAAATGAACAGTCACAGCTGAATGCAGAGATGACCTCCACATAACACAACCTAGGCTGTGGGGAAGTGCTATCAATGGTCTGCCGAGCATGATGAGAGGAAGCAGATGAGAAGTCACCAAGACTTTGGGAAGAAAGTAATGTTGAAGCTGACCCTGAGGCCTGGGCGGGATGCTACAGGCAAAGCTGAAGGTCAGAAACAAAGATCAGAGTGAGCCTACAGGGAGAAATTTGGTGGAAGAAAATGGAACAAAGCGGCCCTGAAATCAGCGAGCACAGCCAATGGGCTCCGAGAGCTAAAATCAGTCTCCATGGAGATAGGCCCTTCAACAGCATCCCTCTTCTTACACCAAGGAGGACCACGGTCAGCATCAGCACTGTCCAACAGAACTCTCTGTGATGATGAAATGCCCTCTGTGCTGTCCAGGAGGTGGCCACTGTAGCCACTGCTAAGCATTTGAAGCAATGCTAGTGCAACCGGGGAACGAAATTTCTAACTCGATTTTATTTTAATGAATTAAATTTTAATAGGCACACATGGCTAGTGGCTACCACACTGGATGGTAGAGGTTTAGATACCATAAGGCCCTCTTCCCCTTGACATTGTGCTATGCAAGGATAAGAAACCACAGTTGTATGCCCTGGTATTGGGGTAGAAAACTTCCACAGCCACCAAGTAATGCTATTTTATTTGGGTAAGAGAAAAGTTCAGTTCCACCCTGAAGATATGAGTGTGTGGGTGGTTTGCTGTTTTGTTTTGTTTTCTGATAAAAGGTCCGTTTCTGTGTGAGTTTTTTGCTTAAGTAAGAGTTGAGTCGCTGACAGAATGAATACATTTCCCTTTTGGGGAGGAAAGAAACCCAACCTAAAAGCTCCTTAGTCCATAATGACCTTTTAATCAGAAGAAGAGGGAAGGCAGAGGCTGGGAGTAGCCATTTTGATGCTACTGGTCATTGAGCCCAGACATTTAGTTCTAAAAACCTCACAGGAAATCACATATTAAAAAAAAAAACATCTTGCAACCATGCTCATAGTAGCATTATTCACAATGATCAAAAGGTGGAAGCAACCCAAGCGTCCATCTACAGAGAGCTGGATTAACTAAATGTGGTGTATACATACAATGGACTATTTATTATTCAGCCTTAAAAAGAAACAAAATCCTGACACATGCTAAAGCACGGGTGAACATTGAAGATATTATGCTAAATGAAATAAGCAGGTCGCTAAAAAATACACACTGTATAGTTCCACTTACATGAGGTACCTAGGGTAATCAGATTCATTGAAGATTAATGGTTGCCTGGAGTTGCAGGGGAGATGGGAAATTGTTTAATGAGTAAAGAGTTTCAGTTTTGCAAGATGAGAGTTCTGCAGATTGGTTGCACAACAATGTGAATGCACTTAATACTACTGAACTACATACTTATAAAAGTTAAGATGGTAAATTTTATGTGTATTGAACACAATTTAAAACAAACCAATATGCATATGTATACCAAAAAGAAGAGGCAGAGCAGAAGGAGGTAGGCACAGGAGTTTTGGCTTCACCAATGCCACCAGCCCTCCAAGAACAACCACACTGCACCCGAAAAGGCGCGTTCCTCCCTCCCTCCCGGGGTGCCTGTCCTGTGACTCCAACGCGCACTCACAATAATCTCCTTGAGCCTTGCCAGCGGCACCTCCGCGCCCAATGAGCACGCGCCTGCGCCAAACCTCGCGCCCCTATTGGCTGCGCCCAGCAGCCCGCGGCCCCGCAGGTTCCCAAGCCGGGTTTAAAGGGGTCCGGCGCGGGCTGCTGCTCTGCCATCGGCTCCCCGCGCGCAGGTCTGCGGGGAGGGGCGGCCTGCTGAAAGGCCCACCCCTGGGCGTTCCTGAAGGGCGCCTCGGCCGCCCCTCACCGCCCCCCAGATGTACTATGCGGTTTCCCAGGCGCGCGTGAACGCGGCCCCCGCGACCATGCTTCGGCCACAGCGGCCTGGAGACGTGCAGCTCGGGGCCTCCCTGTACGAGCTGGTGGGCTACCGGCAGCCGCCCTCCTCCTCCTCCTCCTCCACTTCCTCCTCCTCCACGACGGCCCCCCTCCTCCCCAAGGTGGCGCGCGAGAAGCCGGAGGCGCCAGCCGAGCCGCTGGGCACAGGATCCGGGCCGGGTGCGCACGCGGGCGGAGGCTCCCGGGCGGACGCCAAAGAGGAGCAGCAACAGCAGCTGCGGCGCAAGATCAACAGCCGCGAGCGGAAGCGCATGCAGGATCTGAACCTGGCCATGGACGCGCTGCGCGAGGTCATCCTGCCCTACTCCGCGGCGCACTGCCAGGGCGCGCCCGGCCGCAAGCTCTCCAAGATCGCCACGCTGCTGCTCGCCCGCAACTACATCCTGCTGCTAGGCAGCTCGCTGCAGGAGCTGCGCCGCGCGCTCGGCGAGGGCGCTGGGCCCGCTGCGCCGCGCCTGCTGCTGGCCGGCCTGCCCCTGCTCGCTGCCGCGCCCGGCTCTGTGCTGCTGGCGCCCGGCGCCGGGGGCCGCCCGACGCGCTGCGCCCGGCCAAGTACCTGTCACTGGCGCTCGATGAGCCGCCGTGTGGCCAGTTCGCGCTCCCCGGCGGCGGCCCGGGCGGCGGCGCGAGCAGCCCCGGCCTCTGCACCTGCGCTCGTCTGCAAGTTCCCGCACTTCGT